AAGTAAATTGATGTTATAGTATTTTTTCATTGTGAATGTTGACTGTACAGTAGGCTATATGTTTGTGTTCTCATATCTGTTGATTTCAGGGACGAGAACTCCATTAAATTTGCATATTGCGCGGGAATTGAAGGTTTATATCCGTTTTGTGAAAACGCATTTGTGAGCAGATTTAAGTAGAATTGTTTTAATAAATTAGATAGCTTTCCGATCTGAGAAAACACATGAAGGCTATGCATTCAAGTTCATCGAAACATACAGCCAGATGGTAGTAGACAATAGATGTAACACAGCTATAATTTAATGCTTCTTGTGTAAAGGTCTTTTCAACAACTTTATTGAAAAGAATTTGTCTTGACGAGCATGGAACCCAGACGGAAATTTGATTTTGATTTTTTTTTTTAAATAAATGCCTGCCTCTAATAAAAGCCTGCTTCAAATAAAAGCCTGTTTCCTTCTGCAGTTTAGGTAAATAAAGGCCCCGGCTTTTATTTGAGGAATTACGGTATAAGAATTATTAGTAGCATAACAGGCTGTGATGTGGACCAGGTTTAAGGCAGACAGTCAAAAGTCTGGGTAAGTCTGTAGTATTATAAATAAATATGTAAACATCTTTACTTCATAATATAAATGTCTGGATATCAAACAAATGATCTTTTACGACTTTAATCAAGTATTTGATTTGTTCATCCGTGATTGTAATTTCATGGCCTCATCCAACAATTGTCCATGGTCAATGCTCTCAAGGTTTTTTTTTTTTTTTATTTCCATGAATTATTCACATGCGTTGTATTGATAAATGTTGTGTCAGAATGCATTAGCAGCAAGTTACGTGTTAATGTGAGTGAGTTTTACCATTTAGGTCTCATAGGGCCTGATCTTAATGAGGCAGCAGAATGGATGTGCAGGAAGCGCATGCCAAAGCACTAACATTAAATAGCTGCAGTCTAATAAGATAAATACAGTAATTAAGTTATGAGAGTGCTGCATCCACACACAAATACACAGCCAGAGGACATACAGGAAGGGTGTGTGATAGAGAGAGAGAAACAGTGGGATGGCTTGTCCTTTCTCATCTGTTCATTCAGATTTAGCATAATGCACTCCTGTATTTACAAGGCATTTTTACTGGAAAACACTTGAATACCTCAGGCATGTAATACAGTTGGTTTCCTACATTTTTGACTGAATAAATTGCAGTATTAACTGTAAACTTTAAAGCATGGACTGGATATCAGAGTGGAGATGTTTTAAAACAGCAAACTTCTTAATTAAAATAATTCAACTATAGTCTAGCTATTCCTTTAAAATATGCTTACATTACATGCTTGCTAACAGTGTTTATTTATTCATTATTCATTTTTCCTAAACAAATATGTATCCAGTGATAGTAATGCTAATTTAATCAGAACCAAGAGTTATTGAGAAAAATAAAGTTTTTGTATGAACGACCAATCTCAATTAGAATGACATTATTAAAGGAGAACTCCAGCGCAAAACGAACCTTTTGTCTAATAACACATTGCTACTTAGTCAACAGCCCATTCTCATACCAAGGCGTCATCTAACTGACACTTTTGACCATGCGTCAACATCCAACGCACATGGCACCCTTTAGCGTCAATATGAGATGCGCCTCCTAGTGGTCTAACCCTAACCCTACCCCAGACCTAAACCTAGTACCCGCGTCATCTAACTGATGCTAAAGGTTGCCATGTGCGTCGGTGTCAGTTAGATGATGCTCTAGGATGAGAATGTGTTGTAGTCAACCGTTCTCTGAGATTTGTTTTCATGGTAATCGAATGTAAAGAGTTTTATTCTAAAAACGGTTTATTATTTTAACGCTAGTAGTTGGGGGCATATAAAAAGTAAAAAGAAATCGCTAGTTAATACCACTGGCAAGGCTCAAAATAGCCCCACACTAACACAGTAACATAATGAGATTCCCAACTTGCAAAAAAAGCCTTGAGAACTGTGTAAGTATACAGACCGTTTAATAAGAAAATACTTTATAAAGACTTCATGTATACACAGCAGGAGCCATCTTTTGAAAACAGTCTCGACATGCCGAAGCACGAACACATGAATGCAGTAATCTCGTCATTGCAACTAGATTTCTGCCCACTAACGGACGCTTTCATCATAACTAACAGTGCAAACATGGTGTAAATAAGAAATTTGTTAATTACGACCAAATAAGACAAAAGGGACTTGGGTTTACACGCACATCTTTATGAAAATGAGTGCTGTAAGAAGAGGTATACGGGATGCATGTGTGTAAATGTATGTCTGAATAGACAATGGAAAATCTAGTCTGCACTTAAGCTGCATTAGTCAGCACTGATTTCACTGAAGAACTTTATGTGTCTGTGTAAGGCTGTCTCCTGTTGTCTCACATGTCTGGGGTCACTAAGAGTTGTGTGTCTTACTCACCACTAAGAGATGTGTGTGTGTGTGTGTGTTAGTGTGGCATGGTGAACCCTACATTATGGTACATGTATACCATTGTTATGGCAATTTTTAAAATCCTTTTGGGGTCATTTTTTTAGACTCCACGAGTAAAACCATTAAGAGGTTATAATATACAGTTTGAACAGTGTAAAAGTCATAATGTCTATGGAAAGTCCCAATAGAACATGCGTTTATTTTTGTCTCTCAAAACCTTATCTCTTATCTGTTGTAGGTGATGTAACCTAATCAATTTGAGCAATATGACCAACTAAATGATCATTGGCCCTCATTTATGAAACATAAGCAGAGTGAATTTCTGATCATAAATATGTCCTAATATCTTAATATTTGTTCAGTCCAATATACAGTTTCATGGCCAATAAGGAATATTTATGCCCAGTAAATGTTCTCAATTCCCGAACTTTTGGTTTGGATGGCAGAAAGTTCATTGTTATTCCTCTCTCAACATTTCCTCTCTCAAAATCATCTTCTCCTGGCAGTGTCAATCAGCAACTTGGCTACATAGCGTTTGTTGTTTGGAATTTGTTTGAAAACAAGAGGAAAGGTTGGAGCGCCGACGGGCAGTGAATCATCCACCATCCTTCAGCGCTGAGAAATGAGTAACGGAGTGAAAAAGGGAAATGTTCTGGACAGACCTGTTGACTTAGATGAGGCTTGGATGACTGAGCTGCAGGCTAGTGTGAATCACCTATGTATTTTGCTACTCCTTTCATTTTATTCACTCTGTGCCCTCTGGAAATACCCACAACATCTGAACACAGTCCTCCTGTGTTAGTGTTAAACTCTAGTTTTTGAGGGCACTGCTTTAAATGACTCAAAGGTTCTGTAGAGTGAGAGATACACACACCTTAGACGATTGAAACTGGCTATACGCATTTTAGTTTCTCCATTTGTTATTTTCCCCCCATCAATTATTTTTATATTTTTTTTCCATTCATTAATTTATTTGTTCATTCATTGTTACCCTAATTGATTTTCTGTGTTACTTTGGTTTCATGCGCTCATTGTTATCTTCTTTGGTTCATTACTTTGTTCATTCATCCATTTGTTCATTCATTCATTGATACTTAATTTGTTTGTTCGCTCATTTATGATTTTTACATTTGTTCTGTCATTTCTTCATTAGTTTGTTCTGTCATTCATTTGTTTGATTGTTATTTGGTTTCTTGATTAATTTACTGTTTCCTTAATTGGTTTGTTATTTAGACAATTAGTTCATTCATTTGCTTGTTCATTCACTCCCTAATTGAACTGTTTAGTTAATTTGTTCAGTGATTCCTCCATTTTAGTTTGTTGTTTCATTCGTTTCAACTTTTTTGTTTTGTTCGTTCGTTCATTCATTCATCATTCATTGGTGCCTTCACATCTTATTTATTCATTCATGTCTCTTTTTTAGATAGCCTGCTGTATTGTATTTGATTCACAAATTTCTAAAGCCACAAAGAAAAACACACGATCAACAGCTTGACTGAAAAAACATGTTACATGCCTTTTGTCATCTGATGTATAGTTTATACTGTTAGTAATGAAAAAACATGTTAAAATGTATCAAATATGATACATCAGGCTTTTAGAGGAATATTTATTTGTACATCGCATTGTATTGTATTTGCAATGTGTACATATTTTGACCCCAACAATAAAAACTACATCATTTAAATATCATCTTAGATGGTATTCTTGAGATATAGTATATAGTTCTTTAGATTTTATAGATATTCTTTTTGGCCATTAACATCAGCATCTGCTTTTTTTCAGTTTGGGCCTCTAAATAAATAGATATGTTTTTTTCTACTCAAGTATGAGCTCCATATTCTCCTATATCATACTATATGAGCCATAAAATCCTGATGTATAAAATATGAAATTTAAATTTAAAAAGCTCGGAGTCTGTGTTTGTTTAAGTGATAGCATGGCGTGTATAATTGCCACCTGCAGTGCTTAGTAGGACTCTGTCAAGCTCAAATACTCCTTCACCATTGCTGAATGTATTGCAAAGATTTTCATATTATGATCATTGTGTGCATATGTGTAAGATTCAAGATAATTTAGATCAGATCACATCATTGTGTTTGAGTGTGCACCGGATGTGCGTTGCTAAAGGACACTTGTGTGATTTCCTCTGACAGTGTGTGTATGTGCTTTGACGTGTCCCAGTGTGTGTAGCTGGAGGCCATGGCCTCTGCTCGCTGTGACATTGATACACTGCGCTGATGCTGTTCGGCTGAGCGGCAGTGGGTTTGAGACACAAGAACACACATGAGAAATGACCTTCTATGAGCAAAGAAGATGGAGACGGGTGCAGGACTCAATCACTGGTGCAGAAATGATGCATGTTAACAGAACATCTCTACTGACACGCTCTGGCCCGTACAGCAGTTTAGGAACTCCCCAGAGTACACACACACACACACACATTTACTGTATACTAGATAGTAGCTGTTTTCCTAGATAAATGTAATTTGCAAACAGTGATCATGCAGTGATGTCTTTCTGTGACCACCCCTCTTTCTCTCTCTCTCTCTCAGATTTGGAAAGAAAAAAGAAGAAAAAAACAAGACAGAGACAAAGATGAATGCACAGAAGCAGACGTCAGAAATTCTGAGTGAAGAGGAGTTGGAGAGGATGAAGGAAGAGAGAGAAAGGTAGGACTGATGTCATTACACCCCCACACCACATGAATCACGACTAAAAACCTTGTCTTGTATCCTAACAGAGATGAAACCTCATACTGTAAGTGAATGATTTGAAACGCTCAATATTCGTAGTAACTCTAGTAAACTAGTAAATGTCGTCACGCAAACACTCTAAAAACTTTTGACTGGAGTGTACATAGCACATTTATTAGGTACAATAGTGCATTTTTTAATTAGATTATTATTATTTTTTATTATTATTAATTCTTTAAATGAATTATATAGTATATTTATAGTATATAGCCTCACTGTATTATGTGATAGCCTTCTCTGCAAACTTTAAGTGGTTCTTTTTTTAGTATTTTAAGGCATTGGTAATTATGCTACCTACCTTTAGAAACAACCTTTGTGATTTGACCACGACTGTGATGTCTAAATTGCTACCTACGTAGGCATCTTTAACTGTGCAGATTGTCCTAATGCAGTTTTATAGGGAGTCAGACCTAGATCCCTTGAGCTACCTTACAGAAACAGTGGCAAGTAATGTCCTCTGGGAGTAAAATAAATTCAGGAGTCAAGGCTCAAAGGAGGACGACTTCTCATAAGAGACACAAGAGCACATCATCAGAAACACTCTGCACAATTGAAAAAAAAAAATATTGAAATAGCATCTGAACAAAAGTGCTGATTGACTTATATTCTTAACCAACAACATCTGTTGAAAGTCATTTTGATATTATGCAATCTTTTAGTGATGAAAACCTGTGACAATGATGTTGTTATGCTTGCAGTTTGTACAAGTATTAATACACAATAGTACATTTTTTAAAAATAATAATCACAATTAACAATTTGATGAATAATAGGGTTGTTTCATTAGCCTAACTGAAGACTGTTTGCAGTTGCCAAGAATTGTAATATATTAATGTACATCCTGATAAAATGTATAGCTTAAGTGCACTATCTGGATTGAAGCTGTTGGCAAATGCATGAATATGAGTAAATTAAATTGATCAGGCTATCAATTCCCTACATAGTTTCTTAATAATATAATAATTTCTCAAACCAATCTGGTCATTATCACAAAACAAATCCCTTCAAAGTGATTCAAGACACTTAAAATGTCTCGTTCATCCTGTCAGAGTTCATTTTGTGATGATGACCGGATGACTGTACATTTATCGCACAGGTTCAGATCTTCGTCCCTTTCCATCTCATTCACTCTGACAGCTTGTTGCGGTCCATTATTGAGATGGCACACAGCAATAGATTCCTCGTCCTTTCTCTATCTCTGTCTCTCGGTGTGTCATGTATATTCTGCCAAAAGACAGGAGAAAAGGATAAATTTAGCTGAGACGCAGGGATGTTTTTGCTGTCATTATTTTGTGTGGTGTTTGCCGAGGCTTATTTGGACTTGGAAACGTGTGAAGTGTGAGCTGGAGCCGTGCTGTTCTCCTCCATATGTTCCAGAGTGGCATTTGTTCAGAGAGAGACTTTATTGACTGAGCCTGTTGAAGCTCCTGAGAGAGACAGAAAAGGAAAAAGAGGGAGAGGGAAAATCAGCTGGATGTGTCCGAAAGGTCTTTCTTGACCTTTCCAGTTGATTGTATTTTTGGAGCGGTACTTGAAAGTGTAAATACGATTCAAGTTCAAGTGCTTTCATTTGCGCTCTCATTGCCTGTGTGGTTTACTCATTTGCAGAATTGAAATTTTAGATCACATTCCCCCTTTCAGACTAAAAAGATGATAACTGATGCTAGATAGGTTAACATCAGCTTTTCTATGTTAAAGAATTGAGGCTAAGCACCAGGAGTTGAGGGAACGGCAGATTCGGGACCGGTTCTCCCCACCTGACGTGGAGGATGATGACCTGGACCCGAACTACGCCCGCATCAACAACTTCAGGGAGCGCGTATCACCTTCCCAGCCGCTATACGGGAACCGCAGCCCCTCTCCGCAGAGACCCCCGCCCCCAGTATCCCACAGCAGAGAGCCGTCCACAGAAGACCCTCTGGACGGCCTGTATGCCAAAGTCAACAAACAACGAAGCCCTCCACCTACTGCTGCAGACAGGTAAATATGCATATATACATATTTTCTTGCTGAAAAAAACCTGCGTAAGCCAGCCTAAGTGCATGTAGTGAGTGGATTTCCTCGGGATTGTGTTGATTGCTGAAGGATTCAAGTTAAATTGTACAGTCTTGTGTATTTTTCTCAGTCCTCATCTGTTTACAGAGTGTACTGCAGCTCTTAAAGAAAACAGTGGTTTTGTTCAGTGATTTTGTTCAAACAGTGGTTTTGTTCAGATCAAGTCATATATTCATTATTGATTCAGTGTTGTTTTAAAGATCATCAATTATTAAATTAGTTAATCTCATATCTAAAAGCAGTTCTGAAGAAAAGTGTGGCTGTGCGTTTCTCAACAGTGTTCGACAGCTGCGTCTCCACTGTCAGTTTATCTGCTCC